ATAACTAGATCATATAAAAATAAAGTTTAGACATATGAAACATGAAATTATAGTAAAGTTTTGTAGTTTAAGAATAAGTTTTAACTGAGTTATAAGGCATTACGTTAAATCGTAATAGGATAATAGTATAACTGACAGTTAAGTCATTTAACTAAACTTATAGATTATAGTATAGTGTTATGTTGATAATATTGTTAAAAATATTGGGAATCAGTGAACTTGGATTGAACCTAGAGTTAACTCAGGAAAGTTTTTTGTATTAATCAGGGTATAGAGCAAAGAGTATAATATGAATGATTCATTGAACATTATGGAAAACACTTTGAACGATTTGTATTGAAATTGTGCACCTGTGACCTTAATGTAAGCATGGCAGGCATCATGGAATTCGAATTGTTTGCTTGGAAATTGCAGATCTCGTGGTGGTCTTGTGATGCATAGTTTGTAAAGCACGGAACTTGTACGCCCCCAGTAAGTGATTATCACACTGCTGGAGGGTATAGAAAATGGTATATAAGTTGGAAAAGGTTTGAATAAAATCGGCTCCAGTCCTGATAAGACTGTTCCCAGAAGAACTGCCTCCGAGTGGTTTCTTCTCGCTGTCCAGATTCTCTGGTGCGGGTCCTAACCCACCCTTGGTCAGTGCTGGTCACCGACAGAAAGGTGAATTCTCACATATAACATTCACATATACACATAAGCAGAAAACAAGAAATTAAAGAAGAAAGAAACAAAAATATAATTAAAAAAAACAAATTGGGAGAGAATGTGGATCAAACTCTCACATACACATTCATGCACAAAGGAAAGATATTTTAAAAATAGATGTACTAACAAACAAATAGACAAATATTTTTAACTTTTAACTTTTTTATTTTTTTATTTTAAAATAGTGGGTTACAAATATTCATCATGCAGGCTCCCTTGTTGATGAGGTGTGTTCTGTCCGCCCTAGGCATATTTTTACTGCTGTCACTCCCACTTCCCTGCCACCCCTGCAGTTTCCCACTGCTGTCAATCTTTTTCTTATAGTATTATGGTAGTTGTTCATGGTTCATTTATGAGTGAGATCATGTGATACTCAATTCTCTGTTTCTGTGAAAGGTCACTCAGTATAATAGACTCTAATTCCATCCAGGTTGCTGTGAAGTTCATGATTTTGTTCTTCTTTATGGCTCTATAATATTTCG